GTGGGCGGGGACGTGCTCGTCGGCCTCAGGCGCGGCGGGGGCGGCGGGAGGCGGGAGCGGCCGCGCTGGGGGGCCCAGCAGGGCAGGGCAGGGCGCGGCTGTGGGAGAATACTGTCAGCGCTGCCGATCTGAAACATCGCACGTTCTGTGGTGTGTCCTTATGTTCAACGACGGCAGGGGAGTCGTACATCACCGATCTTCGTAAAGCTGCAACAGCACGTGTGAGATCACGCGTCTTGTGGTGTGTCAGTCGTACAGCCACGATCGTCGTAGAACAGCACGTGTGAGACCACATTTGTGTGCTTATGGCTGCTGGCTGTCATAAGGAGGTGCGACGTTTCCTCTCACTGCCAACGCTGCCCTCGCAGGCCTCGCGGGATGGGAGCGGCGCGCTGCTGGAGGGCCAGCGTAGGGCAGGGTGCCTGCGGCACTCTCCGCCGCTGTGCCAGTGGAGCGCCCTGTGCTAGGACCCATAGTGAGAGGGAGCTCCATACTATGACTCATAGTACGAGCTCCCTCTGACCCCCGTGGGAATCCTTATGGATCCCATCGGAATTCCGTAGGGGATCCCTACAACGAATCCCAAGGAATCTCTTGGAACCCGTATGAATCCTTAAACACACATCGAATCTTTAGGATCACGTAGGAATGCATTCGAATCCTTCGGAACCCTGCGCAGTCCCTAGGAATCAATCGGAATCCCTGGGAATCCTTGGGGATTCATTGGAATCCATAGGAATCCTTCGGAATCCACAAGAATCCCTAGGACCCCCTGGGGCTCCTTAGGAACCCTTCGGGATCCCGAAGAGTCCCTAGGAATCCCTCGGGATCTTTCGGAATCCATAGGGGATCCCTCGGAATCCCCACTAATCCGTAGGAGTCCACATGAATACTGACGGGGGGTTCCGAGGGAATCCTTGAGAATCACTTAGGAATCCTAGGAATCTTTAGGACACTTTAGGAATCCATTGGAGTCCATGCGAACGAATCCTTAGGTATCCGTAGGATTCCCTACGAATCCTTAGGAACCCGTGGGGATCCGTAGGAATCCTGAGGCAACCATAGGAATCCACAGGCCCCTGGGAATCGGGAGGAATCCTTCGGGATCCTTAGGAACCCGTGCGACTCCGAAGGGATCCTTGGAAATCCGAGGAATGCTAGGAATTTTTCGGAAGCCTTAGGAAACCCTTAGAGCACCCTCAGGAACCCCAGCAGCCCCCCTGGCAGGGGGGGCGTTGCCCCCCCAGGTGCCGTGGTGATCCTCTCACGCTCCTACATGGATCCGTGGGGATCCTACAAGGCTCCGGTTGGGCCACGCAAGGATCCTTAAGGTTCCGCAGCAAACCAAAACTAATCCTGACGAAACCTTTTGCGGTGCCCTTTGCGTGCCGAAATTGGGCGTATGTGGGCTCTCGGCGGAGCTCCCTATGGGGCCAGGGTCACGATTCTCGTGATGGTTGCGCCTAAGTTTGGCCTGGGGACGCATGTGGGCCCTGCCACTGGGACCTTCGGAAGAGCTCCCTATGGGGTCAGGGCCACGAACCTGGTGATGGGGTGCGCCGACATTGGCCTTCCGTAGGCTTGGGGACGCACGCGGTCCCTGAGCTCCCTGTGGGGCCAGGGCCGCGATCCTCGTGAGGGGTGTGCAGAACATGGGGCGCGAGGACACGTGCGGGCCCTGCCACTGGGACCGTCGGAAGAGCTCTGCATGGGGCCAGGGCCACGGTCCTGGTGATGGGGTGCGCCGACATTGGGCGTCGGTGGGCCGTCGGTGGAGCTCCCTGGAGCCACGAGCCTCGCGAGGGGTGTGCCTAAATTTTGCCTGGGGACGCACGCGGTCCCTGCTGCTGTGATCTTCGGAGAAGCTCCGTGTTTGGGTCAGGGCAATGATCCTCCTGAGGGGTGTGCTGAAATTGGCCTTCCATGGGCTCTGCCATCGGGGACTTCGAAGTAGCTCCGCATGGGGCCAAGGCCACGATCCTCGTGAGGGGCGTGCCGAAAGGAAGCTTCGATGGGCCTTCGGTGGAGCTTCCTATGGGGCCAGGGCCACGATCCTCGCGAGTGGTGTGCCAGAATCAGGCCCGAGGACGCATGCGGGCCCTGCCACTGGGACCTTCGGAAGAGCTCCGTATGGGGCCAGGGCCGCGATCATTGTGAGGGGTGTGCCGAAATTAGGCGTCGGTGGGCCGTCGGTGGCGCTCCCTGGAGCCACGATCCTCGTGAGGGGTGTGCCTAAATTTGGCCTGGGGACGCACGCGGTCATTGCTGCTGTGACCTTCGGAACAGCTCCGTGTTTGGGCCAGGGCAATAATCCTCCTGAGGGGTGTGCTGAAATTGGCCTTCCATGGGCTCTACCATTGGTGCCTTCGAAGTAGCTCCGCATGGGGCCAAGGCCACGATCCTCGTGAGGGGCGTGCCGAAATGAAGCTTCGATGGGCCTTCGGTGGAGCTTCCTATGGGGCCAGGGGCACGATCCTCGCGAGGGGTGTGCCAGAATCAGGCCCGAGGACGCATGTGGGCCCTGCCACTGGGACCTTCGGAAGAGCTCCGTATGGGGCCAGGGCCGCGATCATTGTGAGGGGTGTGCCGAAATTATGCGTCGGTGAGCCGTCGGTGGAGCTCCCTGGAGCCACGAGCCTCGTGAGGGGTGTGCCTAAATTTTGCCTGGGGACGCACGCGGTCCCTGCTGCTGTGATCTTCGGAGAAGCTCCGTGTTTGGGTCAGGGCAATGATCCTCCTGAGGGGTGTGCTGAAATTGGCCTTCCATGGGCTCTGCCATTGGGGACTTCGAAGTAGCTCCGCATGGGGCCAAGGCCACGATCCTCGTGAGGGGCGTGCCGAACGGAAGCTTCGATGGGCCTTCGGTGGAGCTTCCTATGGGGCCAGGGCCACGATCCTCGCGAGGGGTGTGCCAGAATCAGGCCCGAGGACGCATGTGGGCCCTGCCACTGGGACCTCTGGAAGAGCTCCGTATGGGGCCAGGGCCGCGATCATTGTGAGGGGTGTGCCGAAATTATGCGTCGGTGGGCCGCCGGTGGAGCTCCCTGGAGCCACGAGCCTCGTGAGGGGCGTGCCTAAATTTGGCCTGGGGACGCACGCGGTCCTTGCTGCTGTGACCTTTGGAAAAGCTCCGTGTTTGGGTCAGGGCAATCGTAGTAGTAGTAGTAGTAGTAGTAGTAGTAGTAGTAGTAGTAGTAGTAGTAGTAGTAGTAGTAGTAGTAGTAGTAGTAGTAGTAGTAGTAGTAGTAGTAGTAGTAGTAGTAGTAGTAGTAGTAGTAGTAGTAGTATAGTAGTAGTAGTAGTAGTAGTAGTAGTAGTAGTAGTAGTAGTAGTAGTAGTAGTAGTAGTAGTAGTAGTAGTAGTAGTTTAGTAGTAGTAGTAGTAGTAGTAGTAGTAGTAGTAGTAGTAGTAGTAGTAGTAGTAGTAGTAGTAGTAGTAGTAGTAGTAGTAGTAGTAGTAGTAGTAGTAGTAGTAGTAGTAGTAGTAGTAGTAGTAGTAGTAGTAGTAGTAGTAGTAGTAGTAGTAGTAGTAGTAGTAGTAGTAGTAGTAGTAGTAGTAGTAGTAGTAGTAGTAGTAGTAGTAGTAGTAGTAGTAGTAGTAGTAGTAGTAGTAGTAGTAGTAGTAGTAGTAGTAGTAGTAGTAGTAGTAGTAGTAGTAGTAGTAGTAGTAGTAGTAGTAGTAGTAGTAGTAGTAGCAGCAGTAGTGGTTATAATATTGGTAGTAGTAGTAGTAGTAGTAGTAGTAGTAGTAGTAGTAGTAGTAGTAGTCGTAGTAGTAGTAGTAGTAGTTGTTTTTGTTTTGGTTATGGTTGTTGTTGTGGTTGTCGTTGTTGTCGTTGTCGTTGTCGTTGTTGTTATCGTCGGCGTGAATGTTGTCGCTATAGTTTTAGTTGCAGTTGTAGTTGTCGTTGCCGTTGTTACTTTCGTTGTGGTTGTTGCTGTTCCTGTTGTTGTTGTTGTGGTTGTGGTTGTTGTTGTTGCTGTTGTTGTTGTCGTAGTTGTTGTCGTTGTCGTTGTCGTCGTCGTCGTCGTCGTCGTCGTCGTCGTCGTCGTTGTTGTTGTTGTTGTTGTTGTTGTTGTTGTTGTTGTTGTTGTTGTTGTTGTTGTTGTTGTTGTTGTTGTTGTTGTTGTTGTTGTTGTTGTTGTTGTTGTTGTTGTTGTTGTTGTTGTTGTTGTTGTTGTTGTTGTTGTTGTTGTTGTTGTTGTTGAACATTATTACTTCTAAAGAATAATTATTGTTGGGGCCCCTGGTGCACGACCCCCCCGCCGCGCCTAGGCCGCAGCCTCATTTTCATCATTTTCGTGAGGAAGTCTCAGGCAAAACGGGGTATACCAGATCCGGTTGTTTTGTTGACGCCCGCTTTCCCTTGCAAAAAACACTATAAAATGAAATCTCTTGTTCTAACATAACCAAATTTCAAGAATCCTTTGCAAAAAATGACACGAAGTGCACACTCGCGCGCGCAAGATGAAATCCTTCCAGAACCTTAGTTTTCGTAGCGATTTTAACATACAAGCATGAAAAACCCAATGGTTTTTCAAACGAAAAGTTTCAAAAATTCATCTTGCGCGGTCTTGCGGATTTCTGAGGAAAACCCAATATTTTTTCAACAGGGCTCTTGCGAGCAACTTTTTCACGTGCTTCGAACTTCTGCAACAACGGTTGCGCGCATGCCAGGGCCATCATCCCTGTCAAATAATATCATATTGGACACATTCGTTTTTTCTTCGCGCGCGCACGCCGTCGTCGTCGGCCGCGGGGCCCTGAATAGTAGCCACGGTCGTCCGCATGCCACGAAGTGAAGTGTCCGAACGTCATAGGGCGGGAAGCTGGGTGTGGGTGGTGGCGAAGAGTCGTATGGAAATTTGGTAGAGCTTGAACCGGCCCCCCCACAAAGTGGGGGTATTGCCCGCCTCCTATGAAAACCCTGGCACTGGTGAGAACGGAGTGTCCCCAGTCTTAAATGATTGTTGTTGTTGTTGTTGTTGTTGTTGTTGTTGTTGTTGTTGTTGTGTCTTGGAGAGCCCTGCGGCAGTCTCAGGGGCCAGGTGGGGGGGAGGGCTCGGCGGTGCAGTTCCGAAGGAGAGGCGCGGTGTGCCTCTCTCGCTCTCGAGCGCGGGGCGCCTGTGCGGTGTGGTGCGCTGCCCGCGGCGCTCGCACCGCCATGGGCGTCGCGCAGCGCGCCGTACGGCGAGGAGGCAGAGGTGGACGAGATGTGGATCAGCAGGGCGTGGGCGAGAAGGAGCGGCGGGGGATGGGGGCAGAAGGGGGGGAGCAGGGGAGAAGGGATTCGGGGAGGAGGGCCGAGAGAGAGAGAGAGAGAGAGAGAGAGAGAGGAGAGGGGGCGCAAGGCGAGAAGAGCAGCTCCGACGCCAGGGTCTGGGGCAGGCGCGCGGTCTGGGGGGCAAGCGTTCGGGCCTCCTGGCAGGCGCTGGGAGACGCTGGTGGCGAAGACGCCCGAGGTGGACAGGCTGCCTGGGGCGGCCGTCCACTGTTGGCTGCTGCGCCGCCTTTTGCCTCCTGCTCGGCATCCTTCTTGCCTTCCTTTCAAAGCTTCTCAGATCTCGCAGGCCTAGATTGACACCAACACCAATATCGGCGGCGTGCCTCCACCGAGGGATGAAGATTCCGGTCTCGGTGATGGTGGTAATCTTTTGGCTTCCAAGGTGGCTGGAATATTACCACCAGCGCCGAAATCTAGGATCATCTTCCCCCTGTGGAGGCAACCCCCTGTGTTGGTGTTGGTGCCAATTTCCAGGCCTCCAGAGATCGGCCCATCTCGGTTGCCAGGTTTTTACTTAAACGTATATTCATTCGCATGTTCTTTTTGTTGTGTGTATCTATAATTAAGGATGCATATAGGTGTAATGACCTTCGGCCCTTCCCGCCACCGTGCCTTGGCTGTAGGTGGGAGGCATGCTGGATGCCTGTGGGGATCTCTCAGGAGGCCTCTCGCAGGCCTCGTGGAGGCCGTTGTGGGGGTGTCTCGGGGCCGCTCGGGGCCTCGTGGCTTCTTGTGGGCCCGCTGGCGGTCTCGGGGGTCATTTTTTGGGGCGGGGCGCGCGAACTGTCAGTTCGAGCTTCTCCTCTTGGGGCCGTTCGGGGGGCCCTCTTGGGCCGTTCGGGGGGCCTCCTGGGCCGTCTTGGGCCCTGCTTGGGCCGTCCGAGGGGCCCTCGCGTGGGCCTCTCGGGGCGATCTTGGAGGCCTCCTGGGCCGTCTTGGTGCGCCAAAAATCCGAGAAGGCGAGAACATGCTAAAATCCCCCGAACACCTCCGTGAGAATAAGGATGTTGGCCCAACGGGGCCCCCTCTGGGGGGCCTCTTGGAGCGCTTTGGAAGGCTCTTGGGCCATCTTCTGGCCATTTCTGGCGTCTTCAGGGGGCCAGATGCGAACCCTACCCCTGCCCCCCACGATTTCTGAGGGGGGGGGGGGGTAGGGGTAGGGTTCGCATCTGGCCCCCCAGTCTTGGAAGGCTCTGGGGCCGTCTCGCCGCCGTCTCGGGGCCCTCGCCGTCCCGGCGGCCCGCGCGGAGCACCCGGGGCGCGCCCGGCCGGCCCCCGCAGCTCTGGGAAGCTCGTAGGCTTGTGGCCCCTCGAAGACCAACGCCAGCACCCCCGCTGGCCACGCAGCAGAAACGGCATGTACAGTCGGGGCCCCGAAGAAGGAAGCCTTCTCGTGGGGGAGGGGCTCCGTGTTTCTTCATTGTTTTGCAGCTTGCCTGAGGTTTTCCTCAGGTTTTCGATGGGAAATCAAAGTTTGACTCATGGAAAAATGGGCCCGTTCCTTATGTAGGGTTCCTTAGGTCAACGCCCCGACTGTACGTGCTGAGGGCGCGGTGGCGGATGCAATCATGCACGCGGCCCTGCAGAACCTACGTGCTGAGGGCGCGGTGGCGGACGTAATCATCGCAGGCCTAGAGGTTGACACCAACACCAAGATCGGCGGTCTGCCTCCACCGAGGGAAGACGATCCCGATCTCGGTGATGGTGGTAGGATTCTGGCTTCCAAGGTGACCGAAATATCACCACCAACACCGAAATCGAGGATCATCTTCCCCCTGTGGAGGCGGCCCCCTGTGTTGGTGTTGGTGCCAATCTCCAGGCCTCCAAAAGCATGCACGCGGCCCGTCCACTGCCCGCGCGGCGCCGCCCCGCGCTCGCCGCCAGGGGCTGCCGTGCGGCCCGGCCGCCCCGCGCGCCCCCTCGCGGCCTCGCCGCGCGAGAGAGTGCTCTCTTTTTCCTCTCCTCTCCTATCTGCGCGGCCGCCTCTGGTTCGGGGGTGGACAGAACCCCCAACAGTGACACGTCGATTAGTGAATTGTCCGTTTTCGGTTCTCGAGAGGGCGCCGTGGCCGTTATTTTCCAGGCTTGCGCCCGCCAGGTTTGGGCCTCAGGCCGTTTTCACTAAACCACGTTTTACTAAAGGGGGGTCTGTCCATCCCCGACTGGTCTTCTCCCTTCCTCTTGCTTGCGGGGCAACTCGCAATACCGCCGCCCAGGCTGCCTCGACGCGCGTGCGGACTGCCTCTGCCGCGCGCTGCGAGGCGGAAGAAGTCTGCTGTCCACTTGTGGGTAAGTGGCAGTGATTTGAAGCCAACCAGCCGTTGTGGAGAGCCTTGAAAGGGTTCGATGTCCTATCGCTCGCTTGGTCGAGCCACCGTCAAACAATTCATTCGGATACCTCTCTCAGGGATCCCTTGTCGCATCCCTTCGCATGCCATAGGCAATAATCTCACGCACCACGCAACTTTTCGGACGCCCCGTCATCCCAAATAATCCAGCTACCGAAGATGGTTGCGAGGGATGCGAAGGACACCTATGATAAAAGTGCATCGATGTTTCGACGAGCGCGGCTCAACACAGTAGTTGGCACTACGCCAAAGAGCGACGCTAGAGGGAACTGTTCGGGTATCTGGGAAAGGGGCAGAGATGCTTCAACGGCTCGAGGCGATCTGTTTCTTGAGGGCAATGCGATTACGGCATGGACCCTTCCAACGAGCACCAGTCTGCGAGGTAGACGTGCCGTTGGTGCTACCTGCTCGCTGCGACCGTGCCAAGGGCGTCCCCGCGCGGACCTGTCGGATCGGCGCCGGGCCTCCCCTCGCGGCGCCCGGGGAAGGGGGACCCAGCGCCGATCCAAGGAGCCCGCGCGGACCTCCGAGGACTCAGGGTCATGCCGTTTCTGTCTTCTTCCACTGAGTCTCGGCGGCGAGCGAGGGGGGGAAGTGAGAAGGGGCGGGCCTTCTCAGATGGCTCGGAAGTCCTCTGGCCTTCCGAAGAAGCGCTTTCTGAACCTTCCCCGGAGACGCAGGCAACCTTTCAGAAGGCCGGAGGGCTTCTGAGAAGTCCCGCCGCCTTCAGAGAAGGCCTTCTCCTTCTCCTTTCCCCGCCTCGCTCGCAGCCGGGAGTCAGGGCCGCCTCATTCGCCCCAGCTGCTTTCCGCCCAGGCATCGCACGAGGTGCGGCCGAGCCCGGCGCGCCCCGCCTGCGCTTGGGGGGGTCCCGCAGAAGGCGTCTGCGCACCGCCGCCACGCCTGGTCGTGGCCAGCCTCCTGTGCCCCTTGTGGGGCGGTGCACGGACGCCCCCAGCCTCGGCCAAAGCCGGGCGTGTGCACTTTGTGTCGGCAGCAAGTCATGGGAGCCTCGTGTGTCCTCGTAATCCCGTCTTTCGAGTGAACCAGCGTGCGCCAGCATGTGGTAATCGATGCGGAGGCGCCGATTCAGCCTCGATTGGCGTCGAATTAGCGTCCAGTCGCGTCGATTGGCGCCGGCAAGCGTCGGTTCGCAAGGGCCAGCAGAGTGCTATGGGAGGCTCCCATCAGTTGCCACCGAACCCTGGCCTCGGACAAAGGCGGGCGTCTACACATCATGCTCAGGTCCAGGAGGGCCCTGGCCAGGCATGGTGTGGTGGTGGTGTCCAGGTGCCTTCTGCACAGGGCGCGCCGTTTTTCCCGGCGCGGTCGCTGCCCGCCCGATGGCCGCGGCGGCGCGGGCGCTGCCCGAGGGGCCAGGCGAGCCGCCGCGGGACGAGGCCGACGGCAGGCTGCCGCTGCCGGCCGTGGTGGGCAGTCGCCGGGCGCCTGCGCTGAGGCAACGGCCGGCGCCCCCCTGGAGCCCCACGCAGCACCGCACCGCCGGGCGCAGCATGAGTCCCACCGCCCCAGCGGAGCGCAGCCTCAGCGTGCCCCAGACGGGGCGCAGCACGAGCTCCACCGCCCCGGCGGAGCGCAGCCTCAGCGTGCCCCAGACCGGGCGCAGCATGAACCCCACCGCCCCGGCGGAGAGCAGCCTCAGCGTGCCCCAGTCGGTGCACCGCGGCATCGCGCAGCGCAGCCTCAGCGCTCCCTGCGAGAGGGCCGTCGGCGCCATGGGCGAGCCGGCCGTCAAGGTCCTTCCTCTCGGCGCTGGCGCCGTACGCTGGCGCCCTGGCGAGGTGCGGCCGCCGGAAGCGCGCCAGCACGCCCAGCCAGCCCAGCCCGCCCAGCCGCTGCGGGTATCGTGGGCACCTGAGGTCGCCCAGTCGCCGCAGGCGTTCCGCGAGAGTCTGCTGGCCCTGGCCATGGACTACGAGAGGCTCTACGCGACCCGAGCCTTTGCGGTCGGCGGCCCCGCTGACGCGGCCTCGAAGCTGGCGAAGGCTCCCGCGGCCGCAGCGGACGCGGAGGCCCTGCAGAAGGCGCCCCCGCGACCGCCATGGGCTGACATCGAGGGAGAGGCGGCGGTCGTGGCGACCACGGGGAAGAAACCGGGCGGTGATGCCGCAGATCCTGTTTTCGACTTGGTGTTCGACATGGACAGGGAGGGGCCGACCGTTTTGGCGGGCCTCGTTGACGACGGTGGCGCTTCTCGGCTGCAAGAGCTTGTGGTGGAGACAAAACCGCTGGAGACAGAGGACGGAGATCCCGCCAGCCAGACCAGCGCGGAGATACCGAGACCACATAACAGGCAGTCGTGCAGCAGCGGTACTGACAGCGACACCAGCAGTGCGCGTCGTCTCACGGCCGTGGTTGGACAGATGGTGCTTCCCACCATACGCCAATCCAGAAGCCCCTCTTCACATAGCCGTCCAACGTCTGCCCGCACCACCTTCCGCAAGACCGTTCGTGCGCCTAGCCAAGTGCAGGGCCTGCGGGACACTTACTCTGCGATCTCTGGTGAGATACGCGTCGTCACTCGCGAACTTGGCTCAGCATTGACTTCGGTTAAATCTGGTCAGAAGATGCTCCGAAACGGTAATGGTCGGTCGTCGACTGATGCGCCCCGCGGACGCAACGCTGTCGAGTATGTGAAGCATCCAATTTCCATGCCCGAGCCTCAGGAGTCGGGCATTCTAATGAAGATCGTACGAAGCCGGACGTTCTCGTTCATGGCGGCGTTCGTGATTTTGATCAGTTGTTTGTCGATTGGTTTTGAGGCTGAGTACACATCGAACGTATCTGACAGCAGGGCACCTCTCGGCTTCGCCATTTTCAACTCTGTGCTCGCACTCTTGCTTGTGCTTGAGATCCTGCTTCGCATATGTGCATACAAATTTGCATTTTTCTACGTGTGGGAGTTGTGGAACTACTTTGATCTGATTATCGTGATTGCATCGGTCGTGGAATGTTCTGTCGGTGTTGTCATGCAAGTTACTCAGGCAGATGGCGACGGCGTGATGGGCCAAAGCAGCATGGTCAAAGTACTCCGGCTCCTCCGCCTCGCCAGGCTCCTTCGCATCGTGCGGACCATCCGTGAGTTTCGTCCGCTGAGAGTGCTGGTCCATTCGATCCTATTCGCGGGTCGTTCGGTCATTTGGGCATTGGTGTTGCTTATGATCATCATGTACGCGTTTGGCATCGCCTTGTCGCAGGCTGTCGTAGATCATGCTTCGGAGCATGGTATTCCAGAGGATGATGATCTGATGAAGTACTTCGGAAATCTCGGAAGTTCGATGATGAGCCTCGGGATGGCTGTTGCCGAAGGAATCAGCTGGCACATCCTCACTGATGCTTTGAAGAGCGTTGGGAACGGCGAGTGGGTGGCAGTCTTCATGGTGTACATCGCCTTCGTGTACTTTGCAGTACTGAACGCGAAGGAGGATCTGGTGAGTGGAACACCTTAACTCTGGAGTATCGCCCCCCCGGGGCAAGCTATCAGAAGGATGTACGCACCGTGCAGGATCAGTGTTCATGATATGCACTGTTAGGGCGTTCCACTTACCGTCTTCTTCTTCCGTGCCATAACGTGGTGACAGGCGTTTTCTGCCAGAACGCGATCGAGAGCGCCAGCCAGGATTTGGATATGGTGATTCATTCGCAGGTCGCCGCGAGGCAAACGTACGTCAACCGCCTGAAGGAGCTCTTCATGCGGCTGGATACGGACCAGAGCAACGAGCTGAGCCCGTCAGAGTTCGAAGATAACCTGGAAGACCCCAGCGTGCAGTTCTGGTTCAAGGCCTCTTCATCTTCCATTTCCCCTTCTTTGTCCCCTACCCTACCCTACTTTGTCCTCTCCAGAGCCTTCCTTACACTTTCTTTCCCCTTCTCTCTTCCCCCTCCCCTCCTCCCAGCATCCCCTCCTCTCCTCTACCCTTTCCTCCTTTCCGTTCTCCTCCGCACCAGAGGCCCTGGACATCGACGTCACCCACGTATGGAAGCTGTTTAAAGTACTCGACCCAGACGAGTCGGGGTTCGTGGACATCGACGAGTTCGTGGATGGGTGCCTGCATCTCCGAGGCATTGGAACCAGGAGGAGGAGGAGGAGGAGGAGGAGGAGGAGGAGGAGGAGGAGGAGGAGGAGGAGGAGGAGGAGGAGGAGGAGGAGGAGGAGGAGGAGGAGGGAGGAGGAGGAGGAGGAGGGGAGTGAGGGGGTTCTAGGATTTAGGGGGAACTTCGACATTCGGTGCTCTGGGGCTGGCGGGGAGGGGAGAGGGGGGGGGCAAGCTAGGTGCGCTCGCGTCATATCTGGCGTCCTACCCCTCCCTCCCATCCCTTACCATGGCGCTGATTTTCTCTATCCGCGGACGCGTGTCGTAGCGGACCTGTGGCTCCGCGCGCGCGTGCGTAGTGGGTGGTGGTGCGCGTGCGTGCGTGCGTGCGTGTGTGCGTGGTTGTGGTGGTGGTGGTGGTGTGGTGGTGGTGGTGGTGGTGGTGGTGGTGGGTGCTGGTGCTGGTGGTGGTTGTGGTGGTGGTGGTGGTGGTGGTGGTGCGGCGCGGTGGTGGCGGGCGGATGGGCGCGCGAGAAAGAGGCCCGCGCTGGGGCGAGAACGCCATCGTGAACGACGGAGGCCAAACACCGATCCGAACATGAGGCCCACGCTGCAGCGGGAGCACGATTCGGAACGATTCGGGAGCAGAAATGAGGCCGGCGCCTCAGCGAGAGCAGCATTTTGGGAAAAAACGCAGGCGAAAACCCGTTTCCCGGGAATCTTGTGTGTGAAAAAACAGTACGCGGGGGGGGGGTCGGACATCTTCGGGACGCCATCAGGGGAAGTGGGAGAGTATTTTCATATTGTGTAATTGTCGAGCGGGGGCTGGAGCGGGGAGCGAAGGGCTGGGGAGCAGAGGGGGGGCAGGCGGCGCAACGCGCCTCGACATGGAGTCGCTGAAGTGGGAGGTCCAGGCCATCAAGGCGTCCGAGGAGCACAGCCAGGCCTGGGTGGACAAGCAGTTCTCCTCCCTCCGGCGCGAGGTCGCGCGCCTCGCCGCCGCCCTCGGCGGCCAGCCCGCGAGCCCCGCGGCGGGCGGCCAGCCCCGAGCGGCCGGCTCCTCCTCCGCCGCTGCCCCGGACCGGTCGGCGGCCTCGCTGGTCTGCGGCGCGCCCGGCCGCGCGACGGAGGCCGGCGGCGCCTCGTGACTCGCCGCGTGACTCGCCGCGCCCCCCTCCGCCCCGCTGGCCGCTCCCGCCGCGCTCCGCCCTGCCGGCCGCTCCCGCCGCGCCCCTCCCCCCGCGGGCCCTCGCCCAGGAGCGGCGAGCCCCCCGCGTCCGCGGCCGCGCCCTCGCGGCCGGGAGTCTCTGGGCACGCGGCCGCACGGGCGCGCTCTCCGCGAGCGGGGGCGCCCCGCAGCAGCGGGGCGCTCTCCGCGCCGCAGCGGGGCCGCGCCTCTCAGGGGCCCGGCCCGCCCAGGAGTCCGAGGTCGTGAGTTTTTTTCTCCGCTGCGGGGTCCCCGGAAGTCTCGGCTTAAGTCGGGCCTGTCCCCCTACAGGGGGATTTTCAAACCAAAATATTCCAAAAATATCAAAGAAATAGTCCAAAAATAGTCGGGATATTATTTTCTTAAGTTTTTTTTTTTTTTTTTTTTTTTTTTTTTTTTTTTTTTGTTTTTTTGTTTTTTGTTTTTTGTTTGTTGTTGTTGTTTTTACCATTTTGTGGTATTTTTGAAGTATTTTTTTATCTTTCGTCGAAAATCCCCCCGTAGGGGGACAGGCCCGACTTACGTCTCGGCCCCTTCCCCAGGGCCGGTCTTTCATCATCCCGAGCCGTTCCTGGACGGCCCCGAGGCCCGGCGAGGGCCCCTCTGGGGCCGAGGCTCGCGACGAGCTCCCGTCCCGACTCCTGCCGCGCGTCGGATCTCTCCGGGCGCGAGGCCGCGGAGGCGGACGCGCTGTGCGCCCACGAGCCTCTGCGCGAAGGTCGCGCCCCGGAGGCCGCGCCGCTGCGGCCGTGCTCCCGGGCGGGTGCGCCCTCGCGGAGCGCGGCGCGGCCTTTCTGCCCAGCCGCGCGCGCCGCCGCCGCGGGCCTGTCTCGGCCCGGCGCCGGCCTCTTCGGGGCCCTGCGGCCCCTTGCTCTCCGCCCTGCGGGCCACGGAGGTCGGCATCGTGCCACCGATCCCTGCGCCCTCCTCCGTCCTCCTCCTCCTCCTCCCCCCTCCTCCTCCTCCTCCTCCTCCTCCTCCTCCTCCTCCTCCTCCTCCTCCTCCTCCTCCTCCTCCTCCTCCTCCTCCTCCTCCTCCTCCCCCTCCCGCGTGGCCGCTGTGCGCGTAGGCTGCTCCCTCGAGACTCGAGGAGGGAGCAGCCTACGTATCCCCATCCTGTGGGGGGACAGGCGTCGGCCGGCCGGGGTCCAGGCCGCGCCCCCGTGGGGATGGGGATCGGCCTCTGCACGAGCGAAAGGGATCGGGTAGGGATCGGGACTCGAAGGGAGCGGCCTACATGTCCCCATCAGGGGGGGGGGACAGACATCGTCGGAAACTGGAACACACACATTGCCAGTGGCGGGCTGCTGTTCAATCCCAGGACTTCTTGAGAGTCGGGGACGACGTCGGGGTGGTGTGGTGCACATTGGTTTCCCCGTTCTCCCCTGGAGACAACAAGAAATGTATACACCAGGATGCCGCATACACCATAATCCGTTTTCTTGTGCTGCGAATCTCAGTGCGGGACCGGAAACAAGTCACCGGCGTATGAAGTTCGGCTTCTTAACATCGGCCAGCCAGGGCCCCGGCCGTGCCCGTGGGGATGGGGATCGGCCGAGCGTGGCTCGAGAGGGCGACCACGGAGGGTGTGGTCAGGGCGGGGTGTGGTCTGCGATTTGCGTCGTCGGGGCTCTCGGAGGCGCCACGCTGCCCCCCTCGGCGGGCCTCGTCGGGGCGCGGCGGGGAGCTCGGTCGAGGTCGCCGCCCGCCCCCCCCCCCCCAGGCGCGGGATGCAAACCACAGCCTGTGCAAACCGCACCGTTCGGAGTCGCCGATCCACCTCCGCCTCCTTCGCCTCCTTCCTCCCCTCCTCGTCCTCCGCCGCCTCTTGATGCGCTGTCACAGTCTCCTGCTTTCCAGGAAGCAGTTTTTCCATTGGTTTGCACCCGTAATGTTGGCTGTTTCCGATGAATGCCGGTCAGCGCCGATCAGCGCCGACGCAATCAGCATTATGCGTACTTAGTTGTGCACTTCACATATCTCGCTGAAAAGTTATCTTGGGGGTATACGTTTCGTCGACGTCGTCTGATGGGCAGGGCAAGCAGAGTGCTCCTCTGCTCTTTGGTGTTCTGTTGAGCTCTGGTGGTCCAGAGGGAAGAGGGGATGTGGATACCCATGCCGCTCATCCTGGGGACGGGATTACATTTGCCAAGACATTTTGCCAGACCCGATGGCAGGGGAGAAGCAGACTGCCCTGCTGCTCTTTCGTGCTCCGTGGGGCCATCGTGGCCTGGAGGGCAGGCGGGCGCCCGTTTCAGCGGGCATGCTGAGAGGCCGCGGGGGCCCAGGAGCGAAGCGCCGCTCGTCGTCCGCTGTTCTTCTCCACGAGCAGCCATAGGTATTCTTCTGACGGTGCTGGTCGTTGCCATCAGCGTCGGCTGGCCCCACTGCTTTGCGCTGCTGAGCTGCGCTGCAGTTGTGACCGCCCTGCGCAGTTGACCTTGACGAGCTCCGACTTGTCCCACTGCCCTGCGCCGCGCACGACGCCAGCCTTACTGCCTTGCGCTGCGCACGATGCCCTCCAGTTGCCTGTGGCCCCGGCTGCTCTGACCAGCCCTGACGAGCCCCGTTGCCCTGCGATGCCGACTACGCTTGCACTGGCCACTAGCCCCGACTAGCTCCGAAGCCCAGCAACTCAGCAGCGAGCCTGTGGACCGTGTTCTGTCACTCTTGAGATCTTGTCAACTTAGCTTCTTCAGTTGTTCCCCATACAGTTCTTGCGCTTGCACCTGTGGGCTTCCGACTTGCGCGGTGTCAAGAACTGATTTTGCGAGCCGCACTGTTTACAGTGGCTGCTCGGACCCATGTGGCTTGGACCCCCGATGCTCCCCGCTACACTGGCCCTGTGTGCTGTATTTTCCGTTGCTGCTGCTTGAACTCAATAGCACCTCATGGCTTCCTGCCCCATCGGCCCTGCGTCTCGTGCCCTTTTTTCGGTGGCTGCTTGGACCCCAGTGGCTTGGGCCTCCACTTACAACCCAACTGGCCCTCTTCAGCACGACACTGTGAAGCAGACCTAATAGTCTAGACAGCGCACGTCCATGCCGTGCCATGAAATTCGTTGCAATACTGTGCTGCAGTATGCGATGACCTGATCCGCTGTGCTACGGTACGCTGTGCGATGCAACGCTCTTCTTTGCAATGCTATGTTGTGCTAACTGTGACCATGGACCGCCGCCGCAGGCGACGACGACGACGCCGCCGACGACGACGATGTCGACGTTGCCGCCGCCGCCAGCGCCGCCGCCGGCGACGACGACGATGACGACGACGAGGAGGACGACGACGACGACAACGAGGACGACGACGACGACGACGACGACGACGGCGACGACGACGACGACGACGACGACGACCAGCCCCGCCGCGGGGTCCACGCCCGCCGCGCCCGCCTCTGCGTTGCGGGTCGGCACGCGCGAACACTCCACGTCTCGGCTCCCAGCAGCAGCACGGCTTCTGACGGTGGAGGAACGCTCGTGGGCATGTCGCGGGGGCTCCCCGGCCACTTGCAGATTTGGTGCTCGCGCTGTCAATGCTCTGCTCTCCTAGGGCTTTGCAGCGTCGTCCGCACCTTGCTTCTGCATGTCCGAGCTCCGTAGCTGACTGCACGCCCTCCTGTGCTCAGCTGCGTTCTTGCTCTTATGAACACTGCGCAGGCCTGACGAAAGCTTGAGAGGTCCCTTCCAAAGTGTGCAGACCTTTGTGGGCCTCGGAAACGGCAGGGCCGTTTTTTCACCGTTTCCCCAAAAATGTCCCTTGAAAATGGAAACGGCAAAAAAACGGCGACCGGAAACGACAAAACAACGGCTCCAGGATTGGAGCCGGAGCCGGAACCGCTCGAAAAACGGCGTCGGACCCGGCAAAATAGCGGCGTCGGAACCGGCAAAAAAACGGCAAAGCGGAACGGGTAAAAAAACGGCCCTGTCGTTTCCAGGGCCCACTAAGTTGCAGACGGTGATTCTTGTCATCGCTGTCTTGGTGGCGACAGTCGACCTCGAGTTATCGAGACGTCACCGTCGCTCGCGACGCGGGAGGCTTCTCGAGAACATGGCGGACGAGCTCGAGGCCGCGCTGGGCGCGGATCTCAGCCAGCCTGCGGAGGAGGGGGAGGAGGAGGAGGAGGAGGAGGAGGAGGAGGAGGCGGAGGCGGAGGCGGAGGAGGAGGAGGAGGAGGAGGAGGAGGAGGAGGAGGAGGAGGAGGAGGAGGAGGAGGAGGAGGAGGAGGAGGAGGAGGAGGAGGAGGAGGGAGGAGGAGGAGTGGGGCTCCCCACGTCCGTCCCAGACCCCCGACGTGATGATCTTTGCCACGACGTGGACCCCCGGCGGTCTGGGAGGAGGGGGAGGAGGAGGAGGAGGAGGAGGAGGAGGAGGGGGAGGAGGAGGAGGAGGAGGAGGAGGAGGAGGAGGAGGAGGAGACCCATTCTCTGGGACCCGTTTTTCGTCCCGAGTTGCTCTGTGACTGCCCTGGGGCCCGGTAACCTCCAGAGGCCGAGACTGGAGAAAGAGCTCTGGCTTCTCTTTTTTTTGGACGTTGCATGTGTGGGTTCCTTTTTGCATATTTCGATGGATCCCTGGCTCCGTTTCTCATTCTCGTATCTCCTGTATGCATTGAGCGCCCCTGAAGGGGCCGCCGTCGCCGCCCCATGTTTCCCATGTTTTTGCAGCTTGTCCGCTGTGATGCAAACCTGGCGAGGTGCAAGCCAAGTGGACGAAGAGGAGGACAACAGGAATGGTGGGCGTCAGAGGGGTCCAGGACGGCCAACGAGGGCCCAAGCAACTGCCACAACAGCCCATGAGGGCCCACGAGGCCACACGACAGGCCACAAGGAGCAGTGGATGAGAAAGGAGGATGACCAGAGCAGTTGCAGGAGGAGGAGGAGGATGAGGATGAGGAGGAGGAGGAGGATGGAGGAGGAGGATGATGAGGAGGAGGAATAATTATAATATAATGGATACTGGTAGGAGTAATAAGTATAATCATACAACAATAATACGAATAATACGAACATGCGAATAATAAGAACAATGCCAGTTATAATAATAGCAACATGAAGAAAAAGAAAATACATACGATTAATAATAGTAAGACAAATAATGATGATAAGAAGAAGAGGCGGAGGAGGAGGAGGAGTTGGACGAGAAGGAGGGCGGAGGGAGGGGGGATGAGGGAGGAGGAGGGAGGAGGAGGGCGGAGGAGGCGGCGGAGGAGGAGGATGAAGAGGAGCAGGAGGAGGATGATGATGATGGGGAGGAGGAGGAGGAGGAGGAGGAGGAGGAGGAGGAGGAGGAGGAGGAGGAGGAGGAGGAGGAGAGGAGGAGGAGGGAGGGGAAGGATGATGATTATGATGGTGATGATGATGAGGATGATAATGATGATGTTGATGATACTGATGATGTTGATGATGATGATGATCATGCTGCTGCTGATGATGATGAGGAAGCGGAGGATGAGGAGGGAGAAGACGATGAGGAGGAGGAGGATGAGTTTGAGGAAGGGGTATGAAGGAGGGAGGAGGAGGAGAAGGAGGAGGAGAACCAGGGGGGAGGGAGGGAGGGAGGGGAAGAATGAGGGATGATGATGATGATGAGGCTGATGATGATGGTGATGATGATGGTGGTGATGATGATGATGATGATGATGATGATGCGGCTGATGATGCTGCTGCTGATGATGATGCTGATGCTGATGATGAAGATACTGATGATGCTGATGGAGACGATGATGATACTGACGGTGATGATGCTGCTGCTGATGATGGTGGTGTTGATGATGGTGAGGCTGCTTCTGATGATGCTGATGATGAGATGCTGCTACTGATGATGATAATTACGATGCTGAGGCTGATAATGATGATGCCGCTGATGATGATGCTGCTGCTGATGATGATACTGTTGATGTTGCTGCTGATTATGATGATGATGCTGATGATGATGCTGATTAGTGTTATAATTATTATTGTACTGCTGATGATGATGTGGATGCTGCTGACGACGATGCGGATGATGGTGATGATGATGATGATGATGAATCTGATGATGCTGATGATGTTGCCGATGGTGATGATGATGATGATGATGATGATGATGATGATGATGATGATGATGATGATGATGAGGTTGAGGATGATTACGATGATGCTGATGATGCTGATGATGATGATGATGCTGCTGATGATGATGATGATGATGATGATGCTGATGGTGATGATCATGCTGCTGCTGATGATGATGATGATGATGAGGAGTATGCGGAGAATGAGGAGGAAGAAGACGATAGAGGAGGAGGATGAGTTCGAGGAAGGGGTATGAAGGAGGGAGGAGGAGGGGGAGAAGGAGGAGGAGGAGGACAAGGAGGGGGGAGCGAGGGAGGGGAAGAATGAGGGAGGAAGCAGGGATGATGATGATGATGATGCTGATGATGATGATGATGATGATCATGGTGATGATGATGATGATGATGGTGGTGTTGATGAGTATGATAATGATGATGATGATGATGATGATGATGATGATGATGATGATGATGATGATGATGATGATGATGATGATGATGCGGCTGATGATGGTGAGGCTGCTGATGATGATGGTGCTGATGATGATGCTGATGCTGATGCTGATGATGAAGGTAGTTACGATGCTGATGGCGACGATGATGATGCTAACACTGATGATGCTGCTGCTGATGATGTTGGTGTTGATGATGCTGATGATACTGATGATGATGCTGATGATGAGATGCTGCTACTGACGACGCTGCTGCTGCAGATAATGATGATGCTGCTGCTGCTGCTGATGATGATGATGATTATGATGCTGATGCTGCTCATAATGATGATGCTGCTGCTGATGCTGCTGCTGGTGATGATGCTGGTGATGTTGCTGCTGATTCTGATGATGCTGATGTTGAGGCTGATTAGTGTTATTACTATGCTGCTGATGATGCGGATGATGAGGATTCGGGTAATGACGATGGTGATGATGGTGATGACGAAACTGATGGGGATGATGATGATGATGATGATGATGATGATGATGATGATGATGATGATGATGATGCCGATGGTGATGATGATGGTGGTGATGATGATGATGATGACGCTGCTGTTGTTGATGTTGGTTATGATGATGCTGATGATGAAGGTGATGCTGACGATACTGCTGCTGATGATGAGGACGATGATGAAGATGGTGATGATGATGATGATGATGACGATGATGATGATGCTGATGATGATGATGATGCTGATGATGCTGATGATGATGATGATTATTATGATGATGATGATGATGATGATGATGATGATGATGATGATGATGATGATGATGATGAATCATGATGCTGGTGGTGGTGGTGGTGGTGATGTTGATGATGCTGCTGATGCTGATGCTGAGGATGTTGATGATGATGATGGTGTTGATAATGCTGCTGCTGCTGATGATGATGAGGAGGCGGAGGATGAGGAGGAAGACGACGATGAGGAGGAGGAGGATGAGTTGGAGGAAGGGGTATGAAGGAGGGAGGAGGAGGGGGAGAAGGAGGAGGAGAAGGAGGAGCAGGGGGGGAGGAAGGGGAAGAATGAGGGAGGAAGCAGGGCTGATGATGATGCTGATGATGATGCTTGATGATGACGATGATGCGGCTGATGATGATGATGATGATGATGATGCGGCTGATGGTGCTGCTGATGAGGCTGCTGATGATGATGATGCTGATGCTGATGATGAAGATACTGATGATGCTGATGGAGACGATGATGATGCTGACAATGATGATGCTGCTGCTGATGATGACGATGAGATGCTGCTACTGATGATGATGCTGATGATGCTGAGGCTGCTGATAATGATGATGCTGCTGCTGATGATGCTGCTGCTGATGATGATGATGCGGATGATGATGCTGTCGATGTTGCTGCTGACTCTGATGATGATGCTGATTAGTGTTATTTGTTATCATGCTGCTGATGATGATGCGGATGATGATGATTCGGATGATGATGATGATGATGATGATGATGATGATGATGATGATGATGATGCTGATGATGATGATGATGATGATGATGATGATGACGATGATGATGATGATGATGATGATGATGATGATGATGATGATGATGGTGGTGGTGGTGGTGGTGGTGATGATGATGAAGCTGATTATGGTGATGATGCCGATGGTGATGATGATGATGGTAATGGTGGTGGTGATGACGGTGATGACGTTGCTACTGTTGATGCTGGTTATGATGATGAAGCTGATGATGAAGGTGATGCTGGTGATACTGCTGATGCTGATAATGCTGATGCTGATGCTCATGCTCATGTTCATGCTGATGCTGCTGATGATGATGATGAGGAGGAGGAGGAGGAGGATGAGGAGGAGCAGGAGCAGCAGGAGGAGGAGGAGGAGGAGGAGGAGGAGGAGGAGGAGGAGGAGGAGGAGGAGGAAGTGGGAGACGACAAATAGGGCAATCACGAACACGACCTGATGATTTCGAGTCCCAGCGGCCTGCACAGCAACCGCGCACGGGGGCGCACACGTGCTGCCAGCCGAAGGGGAAGAGCCAGCAGAGATCACCCTCGGGACGTCTGGGGCATGCACTGCAGCGGTCCAACCACAAGACGCCCGAGGTGCCCGGACAGACCAGCGTCCCTCAGTCCTACTCCAGCTTCCCAGCACGAGGCGCACCCGCAGGTCGTCCAGTGAGCAGCGTTCGAGGACGGGGGCAACGGAGTCGCGGTGAACGTTCGGCGCCGCGAGGCACAGCCCCAGCAGGCGCGCGCGCTCGCGCACCTCGTCCACCGCGGGCGGCATCGCCTTCAAGGCCGCGGTCATCGAAGACGACGTCGCCTTGCCAGGCGCCCCAGCCCCGGGCCGCCACCACCTGGCCGCGCCGCCGGCCGCGCCTCCACTGGAGCACCGCCGGCGGTGGCAGCGGCAGGACCCCCGCGGTGCAGGGCGTCGGCCCAGGAGTGGTCGATCTCCGCGCCGGCGGCGGCAGCAGGCGCAGGCAAGTCCAGCGCCATGGGCTCGGCCGCCTCCTCCACCGCCTCCGCCAGCGCAGCAGCTTCGCCCCGCTCCCGCAGCCTGCGCCCGGCACGCGCCCTGCGGCAGCGCCGGTGCCTCGCCCGCCGCGCCCCCGAGGCTGGCGCGCGGGGGCGAGGATCGGGGCGTCGGCCAGGAGCACCTCCGGCGGCAGCGCCGCGCGGCGGCAGCTCGGGAGCCTCGGCCATGCTCGAAGGGCGCGGCTCAGCCTGCCGACGGAGGGCGGCGCGCGGCAGCCTCTCGGCGGCGCGCGGCCACCCCGCGGCGGCACCGTGCGGAGCGACGGGGCGGCGGGACGGCGGCGGCGCCCTGCGAACGCAACTTGAGCCAAGATGGAGGAGGAGGGAGGAGAGAGAGGAGGGGGGGAGGGACAAGCTAGGTGCGCTCGCGTCATATCCGACATCCTACCTCTCCCTCCCATCCCTTACAATGGCGCAGATCCCCTCTCTACTCGCTCAGTCGGATGTCGAGCAGGGCAATGATCCCGAAAGGGTGCGCGATGCATTGTAGAGGGAGGAGGGGGGAGGCTGGAGGCAGGAGCCGGTCCGCTCCGATGCCGACCCCGTGCCGACGCAGCCCGACAGCGGCGCACGTCTCGATCCGCTCCGATCTCCCAGCTCGAGGCGGGCTGAGCCCTGCGGGTGTGGTCGTCGCTGCTGCCCGTGCTCGCACGCGCCCGCGTCCGCTACTTGGCAGGGGGCAGAGCCGGCGCTCGGCCGCGCCCGGGTGCGCCCGTGGGGCTCCCTCCCTCGGGAGGGAGGAGGGGCATCAGCGGCACGCGGCCGTTGGAGGCCCGTCGGCGTGTTGCCCCCTCGCGTTTGGTCCGACGGGCCTGGTGCTCCCTCAGCAGCAGCACGCTGATGGGCTCCCGTGCGGCGGCGTGCCAGCGACACCGTTTCTCGACGGCGACGTCCTCCGGGCCGCACGAGCACCGTAGCGCAACGCTGTCTCAGTACTCCGATGGCATTGCGCTGCGATTCTGCCTGTTCTCGGTCGTCATTGAAAACCTACGCGATTGGTCTCAAGGGCACGAGTGGCATCATGCTGAACGGGATCTGTGAGCATACTTGGCGAAAGCACTAGCGGCTCATCATATTTGTTCGAACCAATTGCCGGGAATGCCCCGAAAAGACAGGACTCTGCGCTCGTCTCTGGTCGCCCGTCTGTGCTTTCATCTGCACCCCACGGCATCCGCGAAAGACCCCCGCCTTCTCGGTGTCCTCGTGCTCGTCCCGCTCGTGTCGGAAGTTACGGCGACCTGTATCAGGAGGGGAAAAACACACAGACACAATTAATCTTCGATTCCCCAGAAAATATGGGAAAATATTGGAAGTGGGGGGGAAGACAAAAACCTAGAAAATATGGGGAAATATGGGGAATATCTTTATTTGTGTATTTATTTAATCGCTTCGCTCATTCCGCCGGCCCATATTGTCGCACCGTTGTGGGCTAGCCGAGTTTTTGGGGCCGTTTTGGGGCCTCTTGGGGCCTCTTTTGGGCCTCTTGGGCGCCTCTTGGGGCGTCTTGGGGGCCTCTTGGGGGCCTCTTGGGGCCTTTTTGGGGCCTCCTGGGCGCCTTCTGGGGCGGAGGGCTCGATTTTTCAGTTCTCGGTTCCCCTCTTGAGCCCCTCTTGGGCCCGTCTTGGGGCCTCTTGGTCCGTCTTGGGCGGCACTTGGGCCGTCTTGGGGGCCCTCCTGGGCCGTTCCGGGGCCGTCTTGGGAGCCTCGTGGGCCGTCTTGGAGCGGTCTTGGGGGCCTCTTGGGCCGTCTTGGAGCGTCCGGAAGCCGAAAAAGCCAGAACACAAAAAACATCGAAAAAAACCAATGAAAATCAACGATTTTGGCCTCTTGGGGCTCTCTTCGGAGGCCTCTTGGAAGGCTCTTGGGGCGTCTTGGAGGCCTCTTGGGCTGTCTTGGGGGCCTTTTGGGCCGTCTTGGGGTCATCTTCGGCGTCTTCGAGCGCTCTTTGGGCGTCTCGGGGGCCTCTTGGGCAGTCTTGGGGGCCTCTTGGGGCACTCTGAGCGCGCTCTGGGGAGCCTGAGAGGCCGCACCCAGAAGGAAAACCATCTCTGAGTAGACTTGGTCGGGCGGTGGTCGGGCGGCGGTCGGGCGGCGGTCGGGCGGCGGTCGGGCGTTGGTCGGGGTACTTTTCGCCGGGGGACCCCCAGGGGCCGCCCCGCGCGCGCGAACTAGAAATACTGTTAATACTGTTAACCAGTTACCGGAGATCTTAGCACGCCCTGGCCCGTTGGGCCGGCGAATTTGTGTGTCCCAGGGCCCCTTCACTGTGACGAGTCAGCTGGGAGAAGCCTCGTGCTTTTGGCGCCCTCCTCCCACTGTGGCGCCGAGGTGCGAGCGCCCGGCTGGTCGCCCCAGAGGACCTGCCCGACACCCTGTCCGCCTCGCAGGTCTTCAGCGCGCTCGGCTTCCAGGGCAAGGGGCTCGAGTTCGTCCCGGGCTTGGCGAGCAAGGGGTCTTTTGCACTGGCGGCAGGCGCAGGTGGAGGTGGAGTGTGGAGGAGGAGGAGGAGGAGGAGGAGGAGGAGGAGGAGGAGGAGGAGGAGGAGGAGGAGGAGGAGGAGGAGGAGGAGGAGGAGGAGGAGGAGGAGGAGGAGGACAGGAGGAGGAGGAGGAGGAGGAGGAGGAGGAGGTGGAGTGAGTGTGGAGGAGGAGGAGGAGGGGAGGAGGAGGTGGAGTGTGGAGGAGGAGGAGGAGGAGGAGGAGGAGGAGGAGGAGGAGGAGGAGGAGGAGGAGGAGGAGGAGGAGGTGTACGGAAGAGCGAGGGTGAGAGTGCGTGAGTGCGCAGGCCCTCAGCACCGGCCAGTGAGAGAGGCTCATTTCATTGATCTGGTGGGGTCGTGCTACGGTCGTCCGTCCAAGCCAGTCCTTGAAACTGCCAGCGGCTTCCTTGGCAGCGCAGGGAGTGGGGCTCGTCGGGACCAGTCGGGTCCAGTAGCAACTGCGGGTGTCGTCGGCAGGGTGTGGTAGCTCTTTAGAGGACACCCGAGTGTCCGGTCCTCAGAGCGAACGCTGCTTTCGGAAAACATCCAATCATTTATGCTGGATCTTTGTGCTGGCGAATTGTCGTGCCTGGGGCCTTCAGCTTTGAGACGGTTGCCTTGACCGTGGAGCGCCAGACCCTAAGCATCATGCCCCAGGCGCAAGGGGATGTTGCCTGGGCGTTGCGACCAGTGAATTCGGCCACATGCTACTACTTAGAATAAGGAACCCTATGCTTTCGCCGCGAGGTGCCATGCCCAAGCGCCTCGTGCAGTTGGCGACAGGCTCTAGGCGCTACGCAGCAAACCCTGTGACTCATGCCCTGAGGCGAGAGGCCCTAGACACTAGCTTCTAGACCCTGTGCCCTTCAGACGGTCTCAGCCCCAGGCATCAAGCGCCATGATCTAGAGTCTTTTCTATGGACTGTGGGCCACTGCCATGGGCACTATGTCTTGATATCGAGGCGCTTTTGGCACCAGGGCTCAGGACCAATCCCAGAGGCAGTATGCTCTAGGCCTTGGCATCAGGCAACGTACTTCAGTCCATGGGCTCGACGTCCCAGGCGCTAGACACTAGCCTTCGGCCGCGTGCGCAGGGCCACTAGGCTCACGCCCAGGCGTCATAATGCGATATCAGCTGCCTGCGGCAAGTCCTGCCACAGCGCCAGCCTAGCATACTGGGTGGCGGCGACAGTTCGAGGTGTGGACAGGACGCCGTACCGCGTGACGCCTCGCGCCACGAGGCTGGGAAGAGCCGTAAAGTGTGGCACGGTTTTCCGTGTCGTGTCGGGGTGTCTCTCTTCGTGTTTTGTCGTCTTCGTCCCCTTCTTTTCTTCCCTCCTCTCTTGGGGCCTTTTGGTGGTCTCTTCAGGAGCCTCTCGGTCTCTTGGGGGCATTTTGGAGGCTTCGTGGGGGCGTCTTAGAGGCCTCTGGAGGCCTCTTGGGGCCTCCTGGGGCAGTCGTAGGGGGCGCTCTTGGACAGTCTGGCGCCTTTGGAATTTGCCTCGGGAGGCTATGTGGGCCGTCTTGGGACCGTCTTCAGGGTCTACTGAGCGGTCTTGGGACCTCAGGCCGTCTTGGGATCGTCTTGGAAGCCCCTTGGGCCATCTTTAGAGCCTCTTGGACCGTCTTCGGGACCCCTGGAGGCCGCTTGGACCGTCTGGGGGCTGTCCTGGAGCCTTCTTGGGCCGTCGTGGGCTGACGAAAGCTTGAAAATGCGAAACCGCGAACATCATTCAAGCACATAAGGGCCATCAGTGATTTTGACACCTCCAGGGCTCAAGGCGGTCCTCTTGGAGCGCTCTTGGGCTGTCTTGTGAGCTCGTTGGGCCGTCCGGAGGCCACCCTGGGCTGTCTTGGGGCCATATCGGGCCGTCTTGGAGGCAGCCTGGGTCATTTTTGCGGCTTTGGGTGACATTCCGTGGCTGTCTTGGAAGCCCTGGAGAGGCTTCGAGAGTCCCAGATCGGTTCCAGCGTGGCCCAAGGAGCCCCGGGGAGGGGGGGCGATGCATGCAAGGACGGGCGGGTAGAGGGGGTGGCATCAAAAGACTACATAATCCCTACCAGGCAGCACTTGGCATTCTACCACGCCTCAATGTACCAGGGGGTACGGTGGTGGATTATGCAGAATGTTCTCGCAGGAACGTGCGCGAAGGGTCCACCAACATAGCCTCTCACCCTTTCTGTGTCGCGGATGCCCACAACGAATGAGAGGAAATGGTTGGACAAATTATCTAGCTGCCTTCGGCTAGTCCCGCCACCGTGCTTGCGTTTTTGGGTATGAAGCCTATTGGATATTCGTTGGGATCTCGTGGGAGGCCTCTCGGGGGCCTCTGGGAGGCAGTTTCGAGGCCTCTTGCGGGCCGTTTTGGGGTCTCTTCTGGGCCTCTTGGGGGCCTCTTTGGGGGCCTCTTGGGGACTCTTGGGTGCCTCTCATGGGCTCCTGGGGGCCTCTTGGGGCGGAAGGCTTGGATTTTCGGTATGTGTTCCCTCTCTTGCCGTCTTGGGCGCCTCTTGGGCTGTCTTGGGGCGCTCTTAGGCCGTCTTGAGGCCGTCCCTCTTGGAGATCTCTTACGCATTTTTGGGGTGGTCTTGGGGACCTCTCGGCCCGTCTTGGAGCGTCGGAAAGCCGAAAAGGGGAGAACACCAACATCTTTCAAACACCTAAGGAACATCACATGTTTTTGCATCTTGGTACCCTCTTGGGAGGCCTCTTGGAGGCTTCTTGGGGCGTCTTGGAGGCTTTGGGCCACCTTGAGCCCATCTTGGGAGTCTTCGAGCGATCGTTCGGCGACTCGGGGCATTATTGGACCGTCTGGGGGGCCTCCTGGGCAGTCATGGAAGCCTTGGAGAGCCCCAGGAGGCGCCATGGCCGCCCAGGAACCCCGCGGTAAGAGGGGCGATGCAGTCAAGTGGTTGTGACCGGGAGGATGGGAGAGTCCCGTAGAATACTACAGAAACCCTGCCAGGCAGTCCTTGGCATTCTTCCACGGCTCAACGTGCCGCAGGCACAGTGGGGAATGGAGCGCAATCGGCCACTTCAGGGGCACATGTTTGTAACTTA